AGGTAATAAAGTTGGTAAGATTGTTCTTATTCCTAGGATGCTCATAACACCATCAGATGCAAGACTGCCTTTCAAAATGAGGCGTAGGCAATTTCCCCTATCTGTAGCCTTTGCCATGACCATAAACAAGAGTCAAGGACAGACACTAGACAATGTTGGACTTTATTTGCCTAGGCCGGTTTTTTCACATGGGCAACTATATGTGGCAATATCTAGAGTGACGTCAAAATCAGGTTTGAAGATTCATATCACCGACAAGAAAGGTAAACCTCAGACCAAAACAATGAATGTTGTTTTTAAAGAAGTCTTCCACAACCTTCGTTAGCTGATTCGATGATTCAATTTGATTGAACATCTTACCTTCAATTTTCCTTTCTGCAAGTTGTGGAACAATATGTTTAGACTTCTTCTCCTTTCACTTCCGTCACTCGCCATTATTGGGGTCTATCACCTCATAAGATTAGATCAAATCAAGATTTTGCATTTTGAATTACATTATTTCAATCCACGATATATAAATGGTCTCTATAATTTGTTGAAGTCCTTACAACATTACAATTCAATCAGTAATCAATTGAAGAACAATATTCATCGATTTTTATAATAGATACGATTAAACTTGAGAATTTGATGTACCTTTAAGACGAATTTCTAATTCCACTGATCCGAAACATAATCGATGAACTATAGTTCTTGAATTCTTTTATTCCAAAATTGTTTGAGAGGAATGAAATTGCATGCATTTATCAATCTGGAAAGCTCAATTAAGAAGAATTAGATATCAAAATCGTTGAAAGATGTTTATTACAAGGATTCCGACTTCTCTCCATTATCAGAAATCGAAAACGAAGCAATACACGTCGTTTGTTTTTCTGTCTTTTTTTTTTTCGAAAAAATTATTTTTTTATGTTTTTTTAAATCATTTATGTTATTATTAAAACAAAATCAAAGTTGATTACTTAAAGATTGGGCCTATTTTTATTTTGCAACTTTAATATTGAACCCAACTTGGCCCAATTTTATATATATCTCTCAATATTTTTATATACATTACCATATTATCTAATCTTTTATTACGAAACAAATTTTCACACATAAATAAATATAATACAACATTTAATCCTATTAACAAATAAAATTACACAAGCTATGACATAAATTTTATATTTTTGATTCTATTATATTATTTGCTTTTTAATACACCTTTTATAATTTAATTTTATTAAAAAAAAATTCACACCCGTGCTATATCATGGGTTATGATCTAGTAAAATAAAGCATCGTAATTGTTTGTTGACATGAAAGAAATTAAAAAAATTGGTATTTCTTTTTTGAATTTAATTTTAAATTATATTTTTTTTAAATGACGTTTTTACATCGAATGTAGCGTATGTTTAAAAAAATTGGTATTATGTAGATGCAAAACATGCAATGGAGAAAACAGAAACAAAGAAATAATAATAATAATAATAATAATAATAATAATACTTATAATAATAATAATAATAAATTATCATATTTTATAGCAACAAAATTATGTTTAAAATTTTGTTAGGCGCTTTATCGTGGGTTTGGATTATATTTAGTGTTAAGTAAATAAATAAAAAATTAGTCGAAAACTAGTTCTTTGAATATTAACTAGAGATTTATTTGCGGTACACTACATGGCGATTTGTTTTTTTTTATTTTATGATTATGTATTATACAAAAAATAATTAAAATTGTATGATTTTCAAATATATATATATATATATATATATTATAGTTTACGATAAAGATGTTTTAGGTTTCGTTTGTAAAAATATAGATACAAAAACATACATTTCATTAAGTAACGATATACGACGGGTTGAATATGTTTAATTTGTCAATATAAAATAATATTCTTTAAACTCTGGAGCTAATTATTTGTAGGTGAAAATTTTGATTTTTTTTACTATATAATTGCTGAATTAATTATATATTAAAATAGTCACAATAATTGGTATAAACTGAAATTTTGGCCAAAGAAAACAACATTGCTAAATGATTTTTGTTTTATACCATCTTAACAAAATCAAGATAATTCGATATGTCTAATATTGTTGGTGTTAAAAATAATAAAATGAGGATTTAACATGTATTGAAGCGGCGGGTTAATGATACTAGATGGTATACCCGCGCGTTGCGCGGGATTTAATTTTAAACTTTATTCTTTGAGTATAAATATAATATAATAAATTGAATTTTAAAATATTTTACTTTAATTCATGTGCCTTATCTTTCCAAAGTAGTAAAAAGTTTCTTACATTTTTTACTACAGTTTTTCTCGTTTTCTTTTATGATTTACTCGTCGTCTCCCCGCATCTATTTTCTTTTCTCCTTAGATCGTTTTTATTTTCTCATTCATATCATTCAATACTCAAAATTCTAGTAAGTTTCATGATCTTTTTATTAAAGTGAACATCAGAAAAGAAATCTGAGGAGATGTTTGTTAGGGCATATGCAAGGGTGCATCTTTGAAGATTGATCTTAAGGGAGAAAAAATATTAAAATATTATAAGAGCTTTAATTAAGATCTTTTGTAAAGTAATTGATTATTGGTAGAACATGTTTAGATCATATGAATTAATAATTTAATAATCAAAACATTTTAAAGTATATTAAAATTAAAAAATTAGTTTTAAAATTGAAAACATAAAAAAGTAAACTTATATTAACATTGATTTGAAAATAAAAAGAAACACAAAATACAATTCCAAATAATTATAAAAAAAACATTAAAGATATAAATGAAAAACAAAAAAAAACAATCAAACATATTAACTAAAGGTTACAAACATTTTATTTAATTAATACAAAGTAAAAAAAAAACTTAAATATTTAAAAGATTTTCGTTATCACAAATCGCAACGAATCAGACCATGCCACGTCGCCACAAGATCAGCCCAAAAACAGTTCTAGCTTAAGAACATGAGAAGTGTTCTTTTTTTTTTTGCCGTCTAGATTTATTATTAATTGCAAATTATGAGAACTATTACATAGACGATTCTACAACTGACAATTCTTTCCGACCCTTACTAGATTCACGACAGACTACACTTCCTTCTTCGTGATCTTGATGAATACCCTTCAATGATCCATGACCTGGCGACATTTCCTTCTCTGCGTAGAATCCTGGCGAACGGCTATAATTGTACATCGCTGAAGATCTCTTGCACACTTGCCCCCATTAATCTGCAAATTTGTTAATAAATCGCAATATCTGGGACTCGAACCCCAGACCTCTTGGTGTAGAAGCATTAATCAACCCTTGATCAACCAATAGGCCAAGGGGGCTTCCACCATGAGAAGTGTTCTAAACCCACTTTTTACAAAGTTTATTATTATTAAACTCTAAGATCAGGCCTGAAGATGGGCCGTTAAACATGGTCTTATAAGGTGTTTTTTTACCATGCTTTGGTGCATCTAAAATTGTTTTATAGAAAACAAATCTCATATATGGATTCATTCCTATAAACAAACATAGAATTTCAACGTGAAATTTTGCACTTTATCTTGACCATTTGAAAAATACAAAAATCTCTTTCTACATATATAATTTAACATATATTATGATTTTAGATGGTATTTTTAATGTTTATTTTTATAAAATGTGACACTTACGAACTCATAAAAATTATTCTAATTTTAAAATATATTTATTTAGAAAATAAAACAAAATCATTTTTATTTCTAGTGAAAAAAACTCTTCAATCTACCATTACTATATATAGATTTCCAAATAACATTCTCAAATATTATTATTACACAGTTTTATTATTCGATAAAATTATTTTATTTTTATTTGTGATGTTTATGATAGTTTTTGTTTTATTTCAAATCACCCTTAGTTTGTTTCAATCTATGTGAATTTCCTAAAAACACTAATTAATATTTAGTTTTTCTTCTTTAGGTATTCACTTTTTTATTTAGAAAACATTTATAATATAGAAAATTTATTAATTTGACTACTTATATTATATTATAATTATAAATAATAATATGTTCTAAATTCTTCTTATTTTTTAATCGGTACTCAAATTTTAAATGTCTATTTTTCAGAAATGAATTGATTTCTATTTTAAGTAAAAATCTTTAAATTTGGTATTTTTAACTCTTATTTCCTTTTCTCTACTAAATAATGGCAACTCTTAAAAAATAAATTTTGTACCATTAAAATATATGATAAGTTTCTTTTTCGTATCTCTAACTATTTTAAAATATTTACTCATTATATGTTAAAATATAATGATCTAATTTATATATATTCAATCTCTATTCAAAAATTTCATATTTTAAGTTGTATATTTATTTTTTTCGTTTTTCATAATATTTCATTTAATTTTTGTCAATTATTGTTTTTATTTAATGTGTGAATTAATTAGTTTAGTTTTAATGTTTTTGTTTTAATAAATAAAATATGTGGAACCCACAAAAAAATAAATTATGGTGACATGGATGTTGATGTGGACACCTTAGATGGAGAGAAACTCTCCTATTATATATATATATATATATATATAGATTTTAAAGTTTGATTAACGTTGATTCAAACATGTCTCGCTATATAACTCCGTCTCGCAATATAACCCACCCGTTGTTGTTTTAAATTTTTGTTCAAATATTCATAATATTATAAACTTTTAATGATTTTAAATATATCAATTATAATTTTTTAAATTTTTTAAAAGTTTAAAATTTCCTATATCCGGTAAAAAATTAAACAGCTTAAATTAAAACCGAATTAAACAATATACAAACGATTAAATTTGTATGCTTGTAAAGTTAACCTTCCTTCTCATTTGGATTTAGATACAAATTTTTTCGACATTTAAACTATATCTTTGAATGTTTACTTAATTTACCAAAAGATATTCAAACATTATTAGGAAGATTATGAAATAATGAAACTGTAATGGGAGTTGGGCGTTGCTAATAATTATGTAAGAAACTTGAAAAATAAGTTATGTATTGTCCATAATAACTGAGATAAGTTACTAGTTTTACTAGTTCAACAACAAACGGGTGGTACAGAATGGCTTCATTGCATACATAATTCATCATCCCATTTTATTTAAACCACATTTTCACCCTTCTCTAGCTATAATATCATCAATAATGAGGGAGAAAGTGATAAAATTCCACACGCAAATCGTGATGGTCTCGAAATAGGGTAGTCACCTGCAAAAAATATGCTCTTATTAGAAAAGAAACAATTTTAATATTATAGTTATGGTACAACACACATATACCTCATGGCAGACTTCATCAAGGCTCATGTTTTTCTTTCTATACATGTCCAAAATATTAACAAATGATTTATATATACGGTCATCATCCTGAAACTTTTTCTACAAATAAATGATAATGTAAGGGAAAATGAAAAATCAAACATAAAAGAGAAACTTATAAGTTCTAGTATGGCTAGACTATAAAATAGTTTTATTTGGTTTATGTTCTTATAGAAATGATAGGAAAAACACTTAAATTCATGATATAAAATAAAATTTTGGCCCCTATTTTTTATCCAAAGTTACCTTAACCTTTCTGACAAAATCAAGAGCTTCCGAATACTCAACATCAATAAAATTTGTTGGTGGAGTTTGTTCACAGTTGAGTGTTATCTCAAAACCCTTTGGCAAGAATGTATTGAAACCCGAAATCAGCTCTTGATCCTCCTTGAAGAGTTCTTTCACCACAGATTTTACACCATTTGGATCAATTCTGCCATGAAATTACCTTCAGATTCTTTCTTCAGCTCCTCAAAAATCACAAGAGTCTTTCATGGATAGAAATCATATTTAAGAGCAAAACCAATCATTAACACTGAAAATATATATATTATACCTATGAGCTGTGTAAGCCGTCATGACCTGAAGAAACCTAACATAAATGTCACGTTTGTTTTGAAGTTTGTTCTTCACAATCTTGAGGTACTTACGTGGGTTAATTTTAGTTGGCTTTGGTGCGCTCATGGTTTTAAATTGGTCAGTGCTTCATTATACCCAAAAAAGAAAAAAAAAAACAGAAAAAGTAACGATCAGCATAGTCTCCCAACATTAAAAACTTTACAACAATGGAACGCAATCAAAGTCGGAAAAAAAAAATTTAACATAACATTTACATAATATATATATATATATATATATATATAATCATTTGAATTACAATTAAGAATTAGATCTAGCAACCAGATAACTATCATAGGAAATATAGCAATGGAATATGAAGCGATCATTGATAAAACTTGGAATAACGTAACCTAAGTATTATTTCATATTATTTTTCGAAAAAAGAGTGATAAGAAAAGAAAAAAATATAGAGAAGTGATCAAAGGGTCCAAACAAAAGTCGAAAGAAAAACGACTAAAGAAGTACATGTATCGACACTTACCTCACACGAAAGAAAAAGAGAATAGACAACCAATTTTCACAAAGAAAGCCGAGAGAGGTGTTAAGCTTTTACTACATGAGACTTATAAAGAGAACATATATAAAAGACACAATCTTCATTTATTGGTAACATATTAGATTTCTCTCCTTTTTTAATGTTCTTCATCTTTTTTTTGACTAGTGTATGATCTGTGTTTTGCGCGCGATTTTATTTTGTTGCTTTATTTAAATATAATATCATGTGATACACGTCTATTTTTATTTGAGTTGTTTGTTTTATTTCTGTAATAGTAGTGTTAAAATTAATTTATTATTAATTTCCTAAAGTAGTTAATGTCAAAAAGTATATATATATATATATATATATATATATATATATATTTCTTTATTGGTTTGTTATACAATATTTGATGGAGATTAGTTTCTGTTTGGATAAGTATGAGTTGCTCATAGTCAACTTTATAAAAAAAATTGAAAGCAATCCATAAATGTATCCCAAATAGAAATGAATTATAAGTATTTGATTTATAATAATAATGTATTAAATACAGTTTCTTAATTTTGGTAAATAAGTTAAATACATTTTTTTATTAAGTATTTTCTTTAAATATTTATAAGATGTTGATTTGATGGGATATAATTCAAAGATGAAAAAGTAAATTAATTTTAAAGTGAGATAGTATTGGCCATTGGGTTATTTATATTATTTTTATCTAGTTATATCAAAATGAACTTTAAATATTGAATTGAATTGCCCATATTTAAAACTACCTAAATAATAAATTTAAACTAATGATAAAATAAATTTGAAAAAGTGGTGATGAGGTGGCACTCTAGATGGAGTAGTTCATTTTCATTTTATACATGTAGTTTTTTCATAAACGAAAGAAAAATTATATTTTAATATTAAACAGAATCAACCATATATACAACCAACAAAATAAGAAATTTAAGATAAATTATATATATTTGTGTATAATTGTATATATATTAGAGACAATTAGCTTCATACCATTTTTAAAAAAATAATTAAGAAACAAGAGAAAGTTTTTGAATATTTGCAGAAGAAGAAAGAGAAAGTGGTACAACACTTTATTTTGGACAAAAATACCCTTAATGAAAAGGAGAAGTGTTTATGGTGCTAGTGGTGATAAAATTTTATGAACGGAGGAGGAGGACATCACAACATAAAAATGATGATGCACATGACATTCTTTTGGGGCAAGAACACGGAGGTTCTCTTCTCCGGTTGGCTCGGAACAAGCTCTGGCATGTATGCTCTTTGTCTCATCTTTATTTTCTTCCTCGTCGTCCTCATCGAATGGCTTGATTATTTCCCTCTCCTTCGCGGCACGACCGGAGATTCGGCTAATCGCACCGCCGGGCTAATCCAAACCGCCATGTATACCCTCTGCATCGGCCACGCCTATCTAGTCGTGTTTACCGTCTTGTTCACCTATCTAGTCATGCTCGCCGTCATGTCGTTTAACGCCGGTGTGTCTCGTCGCCGGTCATGTCCTTGGTTTCATGTTGTTCGAAAGAAAAGAGAGAGATAGGATGAAAGAGAATTGTGTGGTGAAAAAGAGAGATAAGACTAATGGTATTTTTATCTTATAATACATATTTTTAGATCATCAAAATTCACCAAAATGCCACTTATCTTTAGGGATGTGAATTGGGCTGTCTAGGTCCAAATAAGACCATGCTGGTGTAAGCCCAAATAGGACCGTATCTAAATAAGACTAAACCCAAATAAGACCGTAACCAACTAGGCAGCCCATGGGGTTCAGATAATTCATGAACACAGTTATGCAATTACACAAGAAACTCTATACTAAACAAGTTATAAGTGTTTTACATACTAAACAACTCTTAAGTGTTTCACCCGATCCAAAATGAAAACATAACTTCATGATGATTTTAGTCTAATTGAATAACTCAAATTAATTCTCAACGTGTATCTTCTTCCAAAATTTCACATATAGACAGAATCTCACATATAGACAAATACAACCATACACATTCACAAACTCACAATTGTGTAAAGTAAACCATACACATTCACAAAATCACAATTGTGTAAAGCAAACCATCACCTTCTAAGTAACTCGGATCTTCTTTCTTCCACTTTTTCGTCTCATGCTTCTTCTTTATCTTCCTCAGAAAACTCAGATTCACCTATCACAGTGAAAACATTCAGAAATTACCAACAAATACTGAGATGTCTTAAACAAAACCGAATTATAATAATTAGTAAACTTACTTATCTCTTCAAAGCCACGTAACCAGTTTCTTGCACAAATCAGAGCTTGGACATTTGGTGGAAGAAGACGACTCATGTACTTGTTAAGAACCTTACTTCCCACACTAAACGATGACCCGGAAAACACTGTTGTTATGGGAATACATAGCACATCACATGCCATACGAGACAACTCCTTAAAACGTGAAACATTGTCTTTCCAATACTTTAAGACATCCAAACTCTGAAACGCAACCATATCCAAGACTAGTAAAAGCCGTGCATTATAGACACATAAACCAGAAATCAAAAACACTTACGGAAAAAAAATCAGAAATACTAAAGCAAAACAAAACCAGAAATCAGAAAAACTAAAGTAAAACAAAATCATAAATACAAAAAAAAAAAAAGATTGTATGTTACTTACACTATATCGAGCTGGTAGGCTCTCCTCCATGACTTGTGAAGTTGAAGAAGTGTTCTTAGGATTCTTCTCCATCTTCTTACTGACTATGATAAGTTATCCTTTGAATTAATTATTTGTTAGTTTTATGCTATAGAGTGCAATTTCTCTATATATTATTTAAATTAGAAGTAAAAGAAAATAATCTTGCTCTATATTCCTTACATGTAGTGGTTGATCACTAAACCGCCCGATTTTTAAAACAAACTTAAACATGAAAACCTAAACTTATGTGACCAAAAAAATCTTTTAGTGAGACTACAAATCATACATCATTGTTCCAATACAATTTGATCCCGTACAAAAACTATTCACAGGTCGTAATACAAATTAAAACATAAATATCCAGATTGACACAATCGATTAATTAAAGCAAAGGTGAGAAATGTAATAACTTTCAGCAGAGCTATATAATCAAACGAACAAAGTATATATCAACACTAGACAGCGACCAAATATCAACCAATGAAATAGTAGAATGGTACGACTCCAACATAAGACGACCCAAAAACGACTGAGTAAATAAGAACTTATATGAGTGTAAATTCGTTACAAATCTCCGGCCTATGTATTAATTACATGATTTTTTTTTTGTTAAAGTCAAATGATTAACTACAACAGGTCGTAATGTATAAAAACCCCGACCTATGGTAGTTAATAAATTGACTGACTACCAAACTCTTGAAATTTACCTACATGTGAATAAGAATTTATATGAATGTAATCGGTCGGTGATAACTACAAATCCGATAGATATGTACTAACGCTATATGATCCTACAAAGTAAATATGCACTTGTTGGTATAGAAACACAAATATCTAAATTTATAAAAGTTATTAATTACAATCAATAGATAAACATATATCACCAAAAGTTATAAAAGCTAGTGGCACAAGCAACCGTCTATGCGATTTGGAAGAAGCAAAACAATATCCTTCACAACTTGCAAGTAATCCCTCCGCTTAATATCTTCAAGATTATTGACCGGGAAATCATCAACTCCATTAATGCTAGAAGACACCGAAGAAATTTCAGAATTCTAATGGGTCTTTGGCTATGAATACATTATGAGTAATTCTGTTTTTGTTTCCTTGTTTTTTTATCTTTTTTTGCCAAGGAATCAAGCTTTTGGTTATCAACATGTAAATCCAAACAACCTTTCATTAATATGATATTTACTCACTTAGCAAAAAAAAAACATATATCACCAGAATATAACGATTATGTATAAGCAATGCAATAGCGAAAAAGTACAACCCCAACATTGGTCAAACAAACTAGAAAATGTTGGTTGTCATAGCCGAACCATGGCTAAAGCTCATTAAGGAAGGGTTTAAGGCAGCAAATGAGTATAAGTAGTATTAGGGGCATCATTTTAAATAAATGTTATTGTAGTTTAGTTCTCTATCCTTTATTATTCTCACTCTTTGTGACGGTTTCGATTTCCACTTATGCTATTATTTGTGAAAAAAAATTCAATAGTTTTTGTTAATGGGCCAAATTTTATTTTGTTTTAGGCAACAAAATAGTTTGGGCCGGCCATGTTGGCTGCTAACAAGGTGGTAATAAAGTAACAAAGAATAGATACATTTTAGTCATCTAAGATCCAACGGATCTACTGTTAACCACCTCGTCGAACAGCGAAACCTACCTTATCGCCACCAATTTCCGCCGCCGCAGCTACCAGAACGACCGTTGAACTTGAGGAGCTTCGGAGCATCTCTCGGCGTCCTTAACCGTGAAACCACCGCTGCAAATCTCCTCCTCCGCCAATCTAGAGCCACGACCAAATCGATGGTGATAATCCACACCGCCGCTAACGGAGGAGAGTAACAACTCACTCCTGGAATACCTTCGAGAGATCTCTGACTTGTGATGAAGATTGGAACGGACCGAAAAAAAAACTAGATCTGAATATCTCCTTCAAGAGAGAGAGACAAAGAGAGAGAAAATAGCTCTTAAATCGAGGAAACGATTGTATCCGTCCAATCTACATCAGGTTACCAATTGGTGCTCAACTATAGATGTAGAGTTAGTAACTTTGGCTTACAAACATTACCTTTGTAAGCGATACACGTGTCGAGATCCGCCTAATATATAATTCGATGATCAAGAGTTTACAAGCTTGCATATGGAAGATGGTTGAAAGTAGAGATGAAGGTGAGAGTTTTGACCATTATCTTTCTCCTCAACATTAAAAAAAAAGGTATAGATGAACACATGACCTACATGTCTTTTACCTATGTCTTTTACCTTCCAACCCATTTGTCCCAAAATTGAATTTGTTATTCAACAGAAGCAGATTTACATATGTTTTGACCTGGCATAAATGACTAAAGTCAAGTCGAAGTGTTTCCCTTCCATTTGGTATGGAGTTTCCTCCCTCTCCTCGATATTTTCCTTACATGACTCCATGTATTCCCATGTATTCCCCTCTCTTGGACAAGACTTACCACTTCTTTTCTCCCAAACAACATGCTGGTTTTTGTTAGACATTTTCTGGCAATAACAATATTTCTCTGTTTATAGACACCTGGAAACTCAAGTGTTGATTCAGCAGATGGATTCATTTGCTTCTCCTGATTACTTTTAATAGGCACTTTCCAAGTCCGAAGACATTCCCACTACAAAATCAACTAACTTCCATACCTTTGGAATGTTGTCTCTAAGAGACTTCATCTTTTGAATGCTAGGATTTCCATGGTTAGTACTACGAACCATAGTCCCCTAACACTAACACACACCTCCATGGCAAATCACATTTAAAAGAACAAAAATACAAAAACAAAGGTACTTTTTGGAATTCCCCAATAAAAAAATACAAAAATTAGCATTAGTGTGCTACGAAATTGTCTAAAAATTGATGTTTTCAAAAGAGATTTTATATAACTCAACTTAATTTAAAACAAAAAATCATTTTAATTAAACAGAAAACTTTGTAGAGTTACACCTCAAAGTGAATGTCCCTAAAGGTCTCAGCTATTGAAGTAAACCAACCAAACAGTATCAGAAAAAGCCATATTGCATCTTCCTCTGGTCTCCACTGGTTTCTTCAGACAGAGAACCGGCTTCTTCTCGAATCATCCTGCGTATAGACAACGATTAATTAAGCCACACGAGAACTAAAACATGAACAAAAAGATGATAGCTTCTGTGAAGAAGTGTAATTACATGGTTAGTGAAAGTTATCTTGTCGGTGACATCAAGTATCTCCTTCCACTTCTTCCCAATACCCATCTGGATAACAATAACAAACAACAAGTAGTATATTCATCAGATAGATTCATAAACCAATCTTAACATACTGCAAAGTTCTAATCAGATTTACATAGACAAAGATAGCTATGTTTATAACACTAACGAACAATAAACGGCTGGTTTACAAGATTTATCTTCAAACAACTCACAACATATAATCTTAACATTAACAAAACTATTTTACTATCGCAGAAGAAGTATCTCAAACGTCAGAAGCTGGTAAAACTCCCAAGGACAGGAAACAAAGCAAGTTAAGCATCAAACCTACTAGTTAGTTCTATGTGTAGCATTGAGAATTTTCGTCAATAACCAAACTAAATCCGTATATCCCAACAATTCACAACTAGAAGAAAACAACAATTATAATCATGAATATCCAACACCAACATAAATATGAACATAGTGAGAAGACATACCAGAACAGCTTCATTTGATTTAGTCCTAGTCCACAAGGAGAGCTTGTCTTGCTTCGCCTGTGGGCGGACACTAGCAACCACACCACAAATCTCATCTGCCTCATCAAATTGCTCTCCAATTAAAGCCATCAACTACAAAACACGAGATAGAAACCAGTCATTAAAGCCACATATTGTCTAATAAAACACAGAAGAGTAAAAGGTTAGGTTAGAGAATGTCATACAGTTTCAAGCCAGCCCTTGTCTAAATCTTCCTTCCTGTTACTGCCAGTAACAACCCAAGTCCACTTTCCTCCATTAGCACACTCTGGATCTTCCCACTTTGGCTCAACACCAGCTTTGAACAAGTGAATTTCAGCCTGCGCTGTCAATTTGCTAGTCTGGAATATAGTCTCTCGCAAACTGCAAAATCAAAAATTAACATTCTGAGATTTTTTGGGATCCAGACACAGACTATTACATAGATTTACATAGATCGAGATTCACAAAAATCCCAGATTTAGAAGCTACCAAGCAAGGCATTGACAAACGAATACAAAATCCATAGATACATGTTTGAAATCAAAGGAGAAGAGAGGAAACACAAACCCCCAAAAATCTTCGACGGTGTCGAAAGTATAGGCTTTACGAAGAGAAGCTCCCCAGGGGACGCCTTTCTTTGATTGGTTATCGAACCAGAAACTCCACTTTCTTTCGAGCTTGTGTGGTTGTTTCTCCGCCTCTGTCGCCGGTAATTCCGCCGCCGCCGGGAGGGACTCGTTCACATCATCGGTTGCCATATTCTTCGCAGTTGTGTTTTTCTTCTGAGACGGCTCTTGTTGAAAGAGAGAGAGATTGTTTGTGAGATATTTGGGAAATTGGAATGGTTGGTTAAGTAAAAAGGGCTTCTTCTCGACTCTATTGGGTCATTTTGGGCCGGTCCATCAGAACATTTAACTCTATTGGGTCCATCAGAATATTTAACTCTTCTTTTTAATTTATTTTATTCTTTTTTAGTATTTAAAAAATAAAAATCTGCAAAACTAATTGCGAATGGAAATCGCAATAGTAAAACGTTTAGGTCTTGATTGGTGGCAACGTTATTGCGGATTTCTAAAAGGAATATTGAAAAACGCAAAAAGTCACCCAATCAATAAAACAAATACAATTTGCGTTTTTTTCGGAAAAAAAAAAAAAAAACATTTGCGTTTTTGAAAACAGATAAATATACAGGACCGCGATTCTATGCAGTCTTCTTCCTTTATCCAGCGGTCCACTCCAATTACGCAATGGGTAATATCCAGTTTTTCTTTTCCAATTTTTCTTTATTTTTAATTGTTTTTTATAAAATGAGTTTTCCTATATATACCTCTACAACCAAATAACATATGCAATGCAAAAGAAAAAAGTTCCTAAAATATCTCTTTTTTTTTTTACGTATCTCCAATCTCCTTCCTAAATATTTGCACATTTAAGGTAACTTTTAATCTTTTAATCATATTTAGTTATATATACTATATGCTAAACATCACCACCATTATTCTCTTGTTCATCATATAGTAATAATTAATTTGGACATTCATTAATCTATTTTCATGTAAATAATTAATTAGGGTATTTATGTATTAATAGTTTAATTAATATATACTTATAATTATACTAAATTTTTGTAGAATCTCATCATTAATTATCATAGAGAACGTTAAGACAAATATAAATTATGGAGTTTGCATGTATTAGTTAATATTATTCGTTAATTTGTAATCTAATTTACTTGGTTTGTCTAAACTATACATGTCCGTTAATTATGAAACAATTTTTTAATTTTGTAATGTTTCATATCATTTTATAGTTTTCTTTCAGTAATTGATATATATATATATATTAATTAGTCTTTTTTTAACAAAATTATGTTTATATACGTTAAATACATATTATACTTGAATATATATACTTCAAAAAATTATTATTGAAATAAAAATAAAATAGTTAATATCTTGTCAAATTTGTTTATTACAAATTACATAATCACTGTATGATTTTAATGATTGTAGATATGTCGTCTAATCGTCGACGGAACACAAATTCTTCCACACGAACAGGTTCAACTCAGCCAACCGAAATTTCAACTCCTCCCACAGAAACAACAGTGCGGGTAAATTTACTTTTACTTCTATTTTTTAATAATTTTTTTTATTAAATTTGACATAATAAGTAAAATTGTATTTATGAAATTTGTAGAACAAAGACAAGTACAAATGGTCGTACATTCAAGAAAAAACATTAATTCAATTGTTCGATGAAGCAATTGCCATGAATAATTATACTCTTAAGCATCCTACTTCTATCGGTAGAGAGTATATGGTTGAAAAGTTCAATCAAGCGTTCGACATGAATGTAACTTATGGTTTTTTCAAAAACAAGCTTGATGAATTCAAAAAAAGTTACAAGAGGTGGAAGTTTCTAATGCATAAAACTGGCATCACGGTTGATCCTGAGACATCCATGATATATGCATCTGACGTATGGTGGAGGGAACAAGAGTTTGTAAGTACACATAATTATTCTATTCATCAAAATATGTTTCAAAATTTCGGTATTAAGAATCTAATTGATTTAAAAATTTTAGGGATGCAAATTAACAAAAAGCATGAACCGACGACCGCCTGAGTTCTGGAACGTAATGCAACGATGTTTCGTCTTATATGATGTTCAATCACAATCTCAACATTCTGCTCGCCAAAGAAGAGAACAATTGATCAACGAGCATCCAATTGATGAAGAGAGCCAAGATGACTCAGACGCTGATAGTGGTGATGTGCCTCAAACACAAGTTCCTGAGACGCAAGAAGAAGAAGAAGTGTATCGTGTTACAATTGATGTTGATGAAACATTCCAAAATTCCGCTACTATAAACCAACAACGAGGTAGGCAATATGTGATTTGAATATGTTATTCACATATATTTGGAATGGAGCACCTGGATCATGTCACGATACAGCTGTTTTGCAAATGGCACAACAAAGTGATTCTGAATTTCCTTTGCCTCCGTCAGAGAAGTATTATCTTGTTGATTCTGGCTATCTAAACAAACAAGGGTTTTTGGCTCCTTATAGATCATCACGAAACCGAGTTGTGAGATATCATATGTCACAATTCTATTCTGGTCCTCCTCCAAGGAATAAACATGAACTGTTCAACCAATGCCACGCATCATTACGTTCTGTTATCGAGAGAACTTTTGGAGTTTGGAAGAAAAAATGGAGGATTATTTCTGATTTCCCAAGATATAATGTTCACATTCAAAAAAGAGTAGTAATGGCTACAGTGGGATTACATATATTCATCAGAATTTCAAATTTCTCAGATGCAGATTTCGCAGATGTAATGACAGAAACAAATATAAACAATGGAGATTTTGAGCATGATGTAGGTGACATGGATGCAGCAGAGTTAGCAGATGGAGAACATATGACGGAAATAAGAGACAATATTGCAAATATGTTATGGGAAAATCAAAATAATAGATAATACTTTTTTTAATATGTTGTACTTTTTTTATGATGAAACTATTCAACGGTTTTAACAATATGTATGTTAAAAAATTAAGTTTATATTTTGATCACTTTGTGTATTAACGGTTTATAATTATATGTTATTGTTTCTTCGTTAACAAAAAAAATTAATTAATCATTAATATATATATAATCTATAATCTGGACCGCTTATTGATTTGTTACCATTCAAACATTTTATTATGTACCGCAATTAGTTTTTTCACCAATCAAACATTATTCCGTACCGCTTATTTTGTACAAACCGCACTTGTCCCGCAAATACTTTTCTCCCGCACGTACCGCAGTTGAACCGTACCGCACTATAATACCGCTTTTCCCGCACAACAAAAAACGCTGTTACCATTCGGACCCTTAAAAGTTTTTTTATACAAAAAGTATTCCATATCGATTTCCAGAGAGCAGAATTTCTTGCATATTGTTAATGCAAATCTTAGTTAGTATCAAATTAGATAATATTGTTTACATCAGAAGTTCCAGAGTACTAAACGATTAAAAAAAATAATCAAATTAGATAGATTGCTAAATTGACTAGTTTAATTGATCAATAATCTAAAAGATATATTACAAATAAATTATAGTTGATACGTACTGGTACCGAAATAGTGGAGTTGCTCGAACCTTCTTTCCAAGAAGCTATTTAAATCAGAACTTGAGAAGTTTTCATTGATCAAAATACTACTATAACAATAGGCACTTGAGATCTAATGAATTGAAGACTACATTAACTACACTGCAAAAGACTAAATGTGGTACAACTTTGTAAAATAAATAGTATCTTTTACGAGTTGGAGTAGTATAGATAAATAGTAAATTCAAATTTAAATTTAGCTTTTTTTACAAATGAAATTAAATTGTTTAGATGTGTTTATAAGTTAATATAATAATAGGTAATTCTCAAAAATACCACTAAGCTAAAAAATTTGTTCCAATAGTATCATCACAAGTTTTTTTTTCTTAGGAATACCTAGAAAAGATATTTTTTTCGAAAATACCACAAAACTAAAACTAAACTTTAAAACCTTCAAAACTAAATCCTATCCCCTAAAACAAACTCTAGACCCTAAACACAAAAAACTAATCCCAAATCCAAAATTATAAATTATAAACCCTTCAAAATCATTTTGAGTGTTTGTGGTATTTTTGTACTAAAAAGTTTGTGCTATTTTTGAAAAAAAAAAAACTAATGATGGAACTTTTGGTACAAAAATTTAGTTTAATGATATTTTACGGCATTTCTCTATTAAAATAGAACTATGTTATTGTAGTTCTAAACTTTCCAACTTTTCTTTGAGACTAAATTCAAATCAGTTTATTTAGCATGGGTGTCAACAAAAAAAGGTAGGAGTTAAAGCAATTTTTTATTTGCTAATACTTGTCTGAAGAACACAATCATTGTAACAAAAAAATAAGAAAATAAAAACGGAAAAGCTTTCATCCGCTCGGATACAAGAGATAAGACATCTACATTCTTATAATTAGAAAATTGGTTGAATATGAAACACATATATTGGGTCAATTTTGGACCGGTCCACCAACACAATTTTGGACCGGTCCACCATCACAATTTTGGACCGGTCCACCAAAACATTAACCCTTCTTTTCTTTTCCTATTCTCTTTTGGTAATAAGTGGCTTAATTTCATATCTCCATTTTGAATCCAGTTATAAGATGATAACGTATCACATCCTCTCCTTACACTACACACCCTAAAGAAACAAGAAGACTTTTTTTTTTATCGCTGGATCAACATCACCGACCTTCCACATGTATGATCTTCTTCTTCCACGAGTGGCTTTACTTTTCGAAAGTTTTTAAAATCTGTTTTGGAATTTTATTTATTATTTATTCTTGCAATGTATATAATTTTTTTGTTGATTAATAAATTTCATATTTCAAAAACAACAAACAATATGAAGTAGATTGCGTATATAATTTACTTTTAAGACATTCATCTATTTAAATGACATGAGTTGTAAAATATTATCAATTTAAAGGTTTCTATCAATTAATATATGGGGCATAAAATCTGTTTGTTAAACTATATTATCATAAAAATATATTTATTAAACAGATATATTGTAATGTATATATAGTTATAAAACTCACTTACACAATTTAACTATATCCCCTATTTTTTTGCTTGCAAAATTTTAGAAATTAAAAACCAACACACAAAATTTTTACATTCATACTTTGATTAACTAGATTTTAACCCGCGGTGTACCGCGGGATGATTTAATTTTAAAGTTAGTATAAAAATATTTTGTAAATTGTATCTCCTTATAACATATTTATTTATATTATAGTTTACAATTATTATTAAGTAACGGTATACCACGAGTCCACGCGACAATTATTAATAAACTGAGGATTTAACCCGTATTAAAGAGGTATATAAATATTGGTTCAAATTCAACCGCCATATAAATCCTTTCCAAAATATAACTCGTTCCGTAATTCCTTAACCCGTCGCATGATTTGTTTTTATTTTAAAATTTAATGATTATTTATTATATATAAAAGTTTACAAATCATATCATTCTCTAAGACAATTATATTTTAATAAACTGAAGATTTAATATGTATTAAAGCGGCATGTTATTGATATTTAAATTTTTTAAAATATTGTTATTAATTAACATTATACCACGGGACAATTTTTGGTTTTATACAATCTTTTCTAAATGAGACTGATTTAATATGTCTAATATTGGTGGTATTAAAAAAAAAGGATTTAATCCGTATTGAAGCGGCGGATTAATGATATTTTAATATTTTATTATTGTTGATTCAAAAACCCGTCCCGCCAAACCCGTCCCGCCAAAAAACTCATTTATTTTATTAATGTTGATCTTATTTATGATTTGATTCTGAATCATTGTCTAAATATTTTAATCGAATGTAGAACATAGAACACACATTTTCGTCAATTAGATAATATATGTCCGTTTTTAAAATTTCGAATCACAGTATATATATGCATAAAAAATTGATTTTTTTTATTTTATGTATTATATGATGATTCAAAACAGTTACAAACAAATCAAACAAAGATAATAGGAGAATCATAATTCTAAATCTTAATCAAATATTCTAAATATCTAAATTATTAAATATGGAATATCCGGTGTATGAGTTGGGTTAAATATAACCCGACCCAACAAATTTTTTGTGAAGGATTTTATAAAACGGGTCAGATATCCGATTAACCCAGAAGCATTTTTATCCATCCGTCACCAAATTGTTGCAAAAATACTAGTATAGATGTATGTTGCGGTTTGTCTAATAGATATTTAGACTATTGTTGTACCCTATAAATAATGTACTACTAAAAGCAAAATGTGTATTTAGATTAACTTATTTACCATTTTTACTTCTTCTTCTTTGGTAAATAATAGTACTAAGTAAAAACACAACATTCAACCTTTCCCATTATTGGAATGGTAATGTCTTCAATACCATTGACCATTTTTAAGGAATGTCTTTATTATTTTTGGAACCTAAATGCTAATATACCGCAATCACTTATGAGTATTGAAGTTGAGATAGAGGAGGTACAAGGAGACCTTATCTGCAGAAGACAAAAAGCCATTTTTAGTAAAACTAAAGAAAAAAAAAAACAAAGATTGAAACACAAATATGCGCCACTCGTAGTCCACCCCTATCTCTTTGGCAAAAGCCAACTTCACTCTTTTTCTTTTTATATATTAAAAATAAAGATTCTTAAGCCTCTTCATATTTTGCTTTTTGTCAACTCTTCCTTTGCCATCTGTTACAAACACCAAACTCTCCTGATTCATCAGTTTTAAGTCTTCTTCAAGTCCCAGGTAACTTCTCTCATTTTCCTCTGTGTTTTGTCACTTTTTTCTAGCATTCTTGATCTGTTTGTTCTTGTCACATGTTTTGTTTCTGGTAAGAGAATAGAATCTTGTTGTAATAAAGTTAAACTCTGTCTTTCATTTGCTAAATTAAGCTTTGATTCCAGTAGATCTTGGGTCCACCATTTTACTAATTAATCCACACTCTCTCTACTTTTTGAATTATAATCAACATGGATCATCACACCTTTTTGGTATTTTAATGAATCTCTTTGTCTTTTGCTTTTAATTTAATGTATTTGGTTGCTCTCTAATCACTTTTTTGCATAGTGAATTTGGTTTAGTTTAATCAGCAATCTGGTCAAGAATCTGAATGATTTAGACCAAAGTACACAAGTTTTTAGATTCCTGATTTGGATTTTGATTTTGATCAGGGATCAATCCAATGGCACAGATCTTAGCAGCTTCTCCAACATGTCAGATGAGAGTGCCTAAACACTCATCAGTCATTGCATCATCCAAGTTATGGAGCTCTGTTGTGTTGAAACAGAAGAAGCAGAGCAACAACAAAGTCAGAGGCTTTAGAGTTCTTGCTCTCCAATCTGATAACAGTACTGTCAATAGAGTTGAGACTCTTCTCAATTTAGACACCAAACCTTACACTGACAGGATCATTGCTGAATACATTTGGTATATTGATATCATCCGCTTTACTTATATTTCCCTGATTCCTGCGAATTTTTCGTAACCTCGTCTTTTTATTTGGATAGGATTGGAGGATCTGGAATTGACCTTAGAAGCAAGTCAAGGGTATGAATGATACTCTAGATTCTATTGTAAATTTTGTTGTCAGGAATTATGATACTAATGAAGCTTATGGATGGTTTCAGACTATCGAAAAGCCGGTGGAGGATCCTTCTGAGCTTCCTAAGTGGAACTATGATGGTTCGAGTACCGGTCAGGCACCTGGTGAAGATAGTGAAGTGATTCTATAGTAAGATTTTTTTGTCACATTTTCTATTCTCATTTTCTCTTATATTTCACAACCTCATAGTTCGTGTATACCGTTGTTGTTGTATTCAGCCCGCAAGCTATCTTCAGAGATCCTTTCCGTGGGGGCAATAACATCTTGGTATGTGTCATGAATTGAGTTTGATAGTAGTATAAGTAACATTTTCATTATGACATACTAATTATTGAGATTTGTTATGTGAAGGTTATCTGTGATACTTGGACACCAGCTGGTGAGCCAATTCCAACAAACAAACGTGCCAAAGCTGCTGAGATCTTCAGTAACAAGAAGGTCACTAACGAGGTTCCATGGTTTGTCACTACCCCAAAATCTCATTGTCATCACATTTACTTACAATTTGCTGCTTAAGTTTGAATACTTGATCCTGAGTTTAGGTTCGGCATCGAACAAGAGTACACTTTACTTCAGCAAAACGTGAAATGGCCGTTGGGTTGGCCCGTTGGAGCGTTCCCCGGTCCTCAGGTGATAAATTAAGTCAAGCAAGAAAATATGTTTTGTGTTGGTTAACAAAAAAAAAAGTAACCAAACTCTGTTTTGTTGTCAGGGTCCTTACTACTGTGGAGTTGGAGCTGACAAGATTTGGGGGCGTGACATTTCAGATGCTCATTACAAAGCTTGTTTATATGCTGGGATTAACATTAGTGGTACTAATGGTGAAGTTATGCCTGGACAGGTCTGTTTTTCAATGGAGCTTTGATAACAAATTCTGTTATTTGTATGTTTTACCAGTTGGCAATCCTCTGATGTTATTAAAACATGTGTGCAGTGGGAGTTCCAAGTTGGCCCGAGCGTAGGAATCGACGCAGGTGATCATGTTTGGTGTGCTAGATACCTTCTTGAGGTAATTCAAAGTCTCTTTTGTAGAGAGGTGTGAGTGAGTAAGTGAAACTTAAGGTCTTGTAACTGTTGTTACCTTTTTGCAGAGAATCACAGAACAAGCGGGTGTTGTCCTAACACTTGATCCCAAACCGATTGAGGGTGACTGGAACGGTGCTGGTTGCCACACCAATTACAGTACCAAGAGCATGAGAGAGGAAGGAGGATTTGAGGTGATCAAAAAGGCCATCTTGAACCTCTCGCTTCGCCACAAGGAGCACATCAGTGCCTACGGTGAAGGCAATGAGAGAAGGTTGACCGGAAAGCACGAGACAGCTAGTATCGACCAATTCTCATGGGTATGTATATGCAATGAAAGTCTGAAAGATTTCAGCTTTAAGTACTTATTTTTGTGCTTATTTACTTTAAAACTTTTTGACTTGGCAGGGCGTGGCTAACCGTGGATGCTCTATTCGTGTGGGACGTGATACCGAGGCGAAAGGAAAAGGTACTGATTCCGGAACGGTTACACATGTTTTCTTTGCTATATACATTGCTAACATGTATTGTTGTGAATTGGAATATAGGTTACTTGGAAGATCGGCGTCCAGCATCTAACATGGACCCATACATTGTGACCTCACTTTTGGCAGAGACCACACTCCTGTGGGAGCCAACTCTTGAGGCTGAAGCACTTGCTGCCCAAAAGCTTTCCTTGAATGTTTAAAATTAGTCGAAACATTCATGAATCCGATGAACACACATGTCTATGTGGTCTCTCCGGGATCATAAGGTTGTTTAAAACATTTGTTCGGATTAAGACATTATTTGTTGTCTTTTCATTTGCATTGTTGAAACTAAGAACTCTAGATGGGCAATGGTCATCCTTTTATATTGGTTCTTTTGACTGTTATGGTCTTACCCTAAGATATTGTTCTAGTCATCTTACATTTTTCTCTTCTTTTTTCTAACTAGTTCGCTATTTCTTACCGTTATCTCTTTTCAATAAAATGATAAATAACTATTACTATTTTGTGTCACCAATCGGACTAATTATGGAGATAAATAAACGTTCTAAGATCATTTTGGTAAAACAAATTATCAAATTACTTAGGCTTTTGTGTTGTTTCTTCATTCGGATGATCTCGTTTGAAGTTACATGAAAATGAAAAGAACATATAAAAACATGACTCGTTTGAACAACAGAGAGTACTGAAATTGTGATCAAAGGTAGTTTAATACGTTTTACATTCATTATCCATAGCAATGGTCATAAACTAGAAGTCAATATTTCCAAACATTTTTCTTCTCCAACTACTTGTAGGCTTGTAGCAGAAAATGTTGTACTTGGATGAGCAATAACAATAATGTTTGGTTTTAAGATTTGTTAGCATGATTGGTAATTTATACAAGAAACTGTGGAAATGATTTGTGACATTCAAAATTCTATGGTTTTCTTTCTTGAAACTCAGTACTTCATGACAAGAAAGCATATTTTAATATTGTCGGCTTAAAAATCTTAAAATGTATGATTTTATAAAGAGATGTGAACATATTATTGTGTATTTCTACATCTCTCTAAAAGCTAATAAGATATTCGGTAATATGTGTATATATATCTTACACATGATAATTGAACACACAAAATTCGGTATGATCATTTCAAAAAAAAAAAAAATTCGGTATGATCAAATATTATTTCAATCTTTATTTTGTGTGTACGAATGTGAAAGATAAGTGAATTAAAACTTAGAACAAAATCCTGACATTAGCTCAACATTAAGAAGATATATTGATTATACGAAGAGCAATATATAACTTAATTACATGACATTTAAGCTTTGGGCTAGGCTACGTGCGGTGGCTTAATGCATCGGTAAACCGTGCATGAGACGTTATTTATTTATTATAGTTCACTATTTGCATACTCTTACTCATAATATTTGGTTTTCAGTTGAGTAGAGACCAGACGGTCGATTACTCTACCATCCTCCGCCGCCACCGCCGCCTTTCCATCCTCCCCCTCGTCCTCCACCTCCGCCACGTCCGCCGCCTCCCCAACCTCCGCCGCCACGTCCGCCGCCTCCCCAACCTCCGCCGCCACGTCCGCCGCCTCCCCAACCTCCGCCGCCTCGTCCGCCGCCTCCCCAACCTCCGCCTCGTCCGCCGCCTCCCCAACCTCCGCCATAATTTTGTACATCATCATCTGACGCACTATCTATTTCTACGGTGTCTAACTCAGCACCGCCTCCACCACCACCTCCTCGACCACCGCCTCCTTTCCATCCTCCACCTCCTCGGCCACCGCCTCCCTTCCATCCCCCACCTCCTCGGCCACCGCCTCCCTTCCATCCCCCACCTCCTCGGCCACCACCTCCCTTCCATCCCCCACCTCCTCGGCCACCGCCTCCTTTCCATCCTCCTCCTCCTTGATCAACTTCATAACTGTTTTCTTCCTCTTTCTCAACCGTAGCCTCAACGCCAACGTCTCCTTGATTGAGAGTATCCTTAGCGTCGTCGTTTTTCCCTTCTACGGTTGGTATCTCTACTTGCTTTTCACCTGTTTCAAACCTCCACTAACATAAGAATTCTCTATCAAGCTTATAAAACATCTAGAAATTATAAAGAATAGTAAACACCTTGTTTCTTGTCATCCACGGAAGTCTCTGCAGCGACAGCTACAACAACAGCCGCTAACAAAAGAAACCATACTATTAACGTTTTCGTATTCATGTTTACTACGTACCATGCAATTGAGTTTACAAGTTTGCTCGTATGAAAAGATATGCTACTTCGCCTATTGTTATTTATAGTTGCACCGGTTTACGTAAGCAACAAGCTATATATTTATTGTAGATACATGTCACGATCGATACATGCCAAGCGGTGGAGCTGTATTGAGGATGGACATCACTATCAACACCTCATATTTAGTTGGCACGTAAAGATTTTGTCTTCGAGCTCTCTTCATGTCTCTGAAGCTAACACGTATGTTTTCAGACTGACACGTACGAGGTTCTTTAGAGGATGGTTTTGAACGTTGACAAATAGCTTCTCTCGAGTTACTTCAGGTTATTAGTGCCCTAGCCTAGCTTCGTTTTGTAACCACGAACTAGTAAATTACGAGCTTTCCGGACTTGTTACTCTAGGGTTAAAACTTCAAAATGCTCTGATATTTACGGCTAAAACTCTATTACGTACTCATGAATCTTGCGTTTGTGATATATGAAGAAAACAAGAACTTGAATGAAAACATAAACAGAAAGTAAAGAACGGTTTTAGTTTTAACGAGTTCAATACTTCAATCTCCTGAATTTACTATATATCAAGCTCGTTACAATTAAGTACCAAACAACCCTTAATATGCAAGTTCTTAATTTCTTATCATATCTCCGAGGTACAATTTGAAACATAATCATATTTCAGAAAGCAAGTGACACACAAGTCAGGTTCAAGTTTTGGGATTTATTATTGGACTTTTAAGTTAAATATTAATTAGAGTCTTCTTGTGTGCATTTGGTTCCGCATGAGAAACACTTCTCCATCGAACTCAAAACACACTTGACAAAACTCTAGTTTGAATTTGAGTTACCTTTATTATAAACTTTGGATTTCTGATTTACGTTAGCTATTTGAAACTTTAAGTAGGTCTAATGCATTATGGAGTATGCTCATTGGTATATTACATATGGTTGTTCTGAGTTTTTGTTTGTGGATTCTAACGTTTCGGATACATACATATCTTGTGGGTTCAGATATAGTTCGTTGGAGAGACTTCTAAGAAACTGATGCGAGTAAGAACACACAAATATTTAGAATACTTTTATAAATAACATTTGTTTACATAGAGCAAGATCCGTGAAAAAAAAAAAAAAAGTTTACATAGAGCAAGATCTAAACCTAACTTCTATAATATATAAAAATAAATAATATATTTAGAGATAATACTAAATTTTTAATACTTATATATGTAAAAACTAAATTCCAGTAACAAATCAATTTTGTACTTTTCTGATTAATGGATTGAACAGTTTTCTGTACGCACAATATTCACTAGGACCCATAAACTATGAAGGATGGTTAACGCAAACAGGCGCAAGTACTTTTTCTATTGGACTTGAACGGTTTCGTGTAGGTACAATATCCACCGGAAAAGCTAATGGAACCATTAGAATTATTCTATGCACTAGGAGTCATCTTATTATACAAAGTTGAGTTTTTAAAGTTGCTAAATAACGTGATCGCGACACATGTCAAGTCTATGATAGAAAAATAGAAAAACTAAAAAAAACATATCTATATATAATAAATTATATGTCTATATTTAAAAAAATAGAAAAACTAAAAAAAACATATCTATATATAATAAATTATATGTCTATATTTAAAAAATTTAAATTCTATTTTTCTTAATCAAAAAGAAAACTAACATTTTTTACATGTGTTATTGATCAATTAAATTTGGCATGTACTAATTTTAAAAAAAAAATTCATTTAGCATGGATATTAGCTAATAAACAATGACCGTTGAAATTTAAACTGAAAATATTATTTTAATTGGACAAAAATTTTATTTATCATTATAACTGATGTTGTGCAAATGCATGTATCAGGTTTTAAAATCCTTAAGAGTACAACAAATAACCTGCAAGTGCACAGCGAATCAGTTGTTGTACTTAGGGTATCGAATCCACAGGGAGAGAAGTAGTTCGGACAAATCTATTAAGACAAGTAAAGCTAGGACAAAACAATAAAGAGGGGTTGGTTGTGGTGTCACGATTGCAAGTAAAAGTAAATAAGAAAACAAGTAAAGAAAGCAAGTAAATAAACACAAAAAATCAATAGGAGACAAACGTTGGGCATCAATGGTATCGCAGGGGCTTCAATGATCGCTATCTAAGAAATATTAGAATTAGGTTTGTTTACTTCCAAGTCTCGGACATACAAAACACTAAGATTCGGCTAACTCTAGGTTATAGAAATAGTCGACTAAAATCCTTATACTCCGTTACTCAACTAACGCAGACAACGACGCATATATCAAAGCAATAAGATCAAGTTCGATTCTAGTCCATAAAGCCCTATAACTAAGTGGTGTGTGCTTGTTATAACAGGATACACATTCGTAAGCTAGGTCTAGCGTATTAAACAACCTTGTGAGCAATTTAAACACTTGGGATCACGAGTTAGGACATGAATCTAACTACATGCATTAAGAAACAACTTACTTAGAAAGAATATAGTGTAAACGATCAAACAAAACCCTAAGTATCGCCACTTAAACGATCGATCATATTCCCCCCTTTGATTAACCCTTTAAACCCAATTAGAAAACTACTCTAGCATGGTTAAAGAGATCATCAAAGTAAGGTTTGATAAAATCATAAGAAAGAAAAGAATAAGAACTGAATAGGGTTTAGAGATTAATTCTTTGAATGTAGAATACAAGGGGTAAGACTTCACATTAATAGATCTTAGAGAAAACAAGAGAAAAGAGAGAGAGATTTGGTGATTCTTCAAAGCTTCAATGAACGACGGCTGCAGCTCTTTGGCGAGGGCAGGGATTCACGGCAGCTCTTAGAATAGTCTTCGAAGGCACACTAGGTTTAAGGCTTTCAACATGTATTTATAGGTTTTGGGAACCAAGGGTTAGGTCTAGGGGTAAAAGCGTCTTTTCCCGTAGATTAGGTTAAGTGCAACTCGCGTCTCTAGACAGGGTAGATGTATTAGTGACCGGGTTGGAGAGTAGGAGGCAGCCCGGGCTCGGCACTTGTGACCGGTGCGGTCTAGAAGCTCCAGAACGGTTGCATAGCTTCTGGCCGGTCTGGACATATCTTCACTCTTCTGGTCATAACTTCTGAACGGATAAATAAAAAGCTCTGGTTCCACATCGAGGCAAATCCTGACTCTTCTAGCTTTCCATAGCCACCGAGATATCTTGATTTGTCAACCGGGAAGACCTCGAACGGATGTCATACTTCTGACGTACAGAAACTGTCTTAAAACGGGTTTTGATCGCCTTTTGGTCTTTAAAGCTCAAAAACTCTTAAAACCTTCTTGGATCAATAAATACTTGAATAAATCCTTCTTAGCTCTGAAATCACTCCAAATGCTCCCTAAAACATAAGAAAACAATAACAAATATGGGCGAAAATCCCATGTTATCAATAACATATATAGTGTTTTTATTTGCTATATTAAAACACATTTTTTAAAACAAATAGTGAGTTTCTAAGAATTAATTTGAATATAGTCCTTGATGAGAATATTACTATAGTTATACTTATGTATCTTAGAATTTAAATGCATGTAATCTAAGTGAAAACACCAAAAATTTGGTTTATAGGAATGAATTTTTGATCCTTGATGAGAATATTATTTTATTTTATTTATTTTTTATTTATGAATTTTAAATGAGACATAAGGTAAAATTAACTTATGAGATGACGCCATATAAAAAAGACTATATCTTAAAAAAATTTATCTTCAAAACAGTTTAATGGATTTTATTTTCAATAATTATATATTCTTTGTTATTTTTAGTTATTTTAAATAGTAACTAAGATATAGATTTGATATGATATACATATTATTATGATATAAAGTTTTTAGCATTTATCCATTAAGATGAAGTCAGTAGAATTAAAATCCAGTTTATTATAATGAAATAGATAGTCAAATTGTATTGCCAAATGGAATGTGTAACACTAAAATATGTTTTTAAATTTTTTACTAAATTATAGAAAAAGTGTATGGATTAGTATTTAGAATTCAAATATCATCAATAAGATGGAATGTGTAGAATTAAAATTCAGTTTATTATATGATAAAGTATATAGTTAAAGTGTTTAACATAATGGGATGTGTAAGATTAAAATTTGGTTTAAAACAAAATTTACTAAATTAAATATTAGAAAAAGCAATTTTTGAAGAATTATAGAAAGTTCTTAACCTAGTTCATCCAAGCATAAGGCGCCGCCGGTGGTTTGGTTTCAGTTTGCATACAGTTTGTGAAGTTTATCAGTTGAATCCTTTTTCTTGTTTTGAATCTGATGGAATACGCCTTGGATAAAGCTTTGCAAGAGATGTCTCTAGAGGATGATAAACCAATTGTGCTCAAAAATCTCCCGCAGTACAGTTTTGTGGTAAGGAATGGATGTAGTATCGTTGGGAAGCTTCTGTGCCCGGAAAATCAGAAGATGACGGGCGTAATTCATGAGATGCCTCGTCTATGGAGAGTAAACAACAGAGCAAGAGGAATTGCTTTACCGGAGGACAAGTTTCAGTTTATTTTTGATTCTGAAGCAGATCTTCTTACAGTACTGGAGGCTGGAGCGTGGACATTCAATGACTGGAGCATGACTTTGGAGCGTTGGGTGGAGAACCCTCCGGAGGACTACTTGCGAATTCTACCCATATGGATACGTCTTCGTCATATCCCGATCAACTTTAACACCAAGGAAACGATCCAGGAAATTGCAGAACACATAGGGCAAGTAACCCATGTTGCTTTTGACCCTTTAAAACCACAAAGCAGAGGCTTTGTTCGAGTACGTGTACTGTTTGATATCAACAAGCCATTGAAGAACACAAGGAATGTGGAGTTACCCACTGGTGAGGTGGTGGCCATTGGAATTGAGTATGAAAGGATCCGTAAACGGTGCTACCAATGTCTCCGTCTCACACATGATAAGGAACGATGTCCTCTTAATCCTTCAAACAGGCAATCCATTGCTACGGGAAGGATTAAGTCATCAGCCATCATTCCGAGTCGCTTGATCCCAAAAATCAGTAAGGATGATCCTTTGTTTGGTGTCTTAACTGATGATGATGTTGGGATCGATTCAATCTCTGGGAAACCGAAGATAGCAAAGGCTGTTCTTGATGAAATGCGACAATATCTTTCTGTTGCTGACCCTCAAGAAAGGAAGATAAGGGTTACACGAGTCCGTAAGTCAGTCTGGGATTTAG